TCCTAGATTAACGGGTAATTTGTGGACTTGAGGTCTGTAGGATTATCACAATTATCGATATTCGATACTGAAAATGGTTGTTTGCATTATTTGCTATTGTTAATTTTAGATGTTTGCTTTACTTACACATTAAAAGAATAATACTTTAGACAACCTTAGAATATAGTCAATTTCATTGTAAATGTTGGATTATAATTGAGATTTTATTTTGTGTTTTTTTTTTTGCACACTTATTTAACTAGGTACGAATTCTGTTGAAAGGCATGAACCGTGTTGAGATTTAAAAAAAGGGGAGTTTTTTTTATTTTTATAAAAACTATTTTTTGTACCTTTTATAAAATACCACTTTTTCCCCCCACAGTATTGAAAATGGTGTAGAATATTACATGTTTTCCTGGGTATGGATTGCAGCATGGCGGTGACCCTAGAGGCAATTATTTATTCAAAACCTGCTCTCTGATATTAGATGAAAGTACAAAACTATATGAAAAAGGGCTGCAACTAACAATTATTTTGCAAATCGGTTCATCTTTTGATTATTTTTTCGATTAATCGATTAATAATCGGATAGCCAAAGCTTCCTTGAGGAAGACTTTGTACGAAATTAAACCAGGTGAAACTAAAACTTTTCCCGATGAGGAGTTCTGAATAGAGCATATTGACAGACCAACATTTTTTTTTTTATTATTTTAAATGCAAAATGTGTATATAATCTTTTACAATTTTGGTGTAATTTCTGCTTTAGTTTGGTTGCTCTGGCATCTAAAAGCATGTTTTAGAGTCTTTATACTTCAGTTTACGATTTATCGATTACTAAAAAACGTTGTTTCAGTTATCGATTAATCATGATTAACCCGATTAAATGTTTCAGCCTCAATATGATTAAAATATTTTAGTTTCTTACATTTGTTCTAACCCTTTGCTTGTTCCTGCTCAGGAATTCCCATGCAGGAGATAAGCGGCACTCCCAGTGCATTCACTGGGCGCAGCTTCAGGAACTGGCTGGTGGAGCTGCGCAATTCCCACTCGCTGATTAAGAGCAGCCGGAGCGCGCTCATCGACCGCCTACTGGAAGGATACGACAGCGCCCGCCATGGAACTGGGGTCAGTGAAGGCGTTCTTTTAACCCCTGTGGCTTTTAACGGAGATGGCCTCACTGACTTCTCTCTGTGTGTTTCAGGCGTTTGGTGAGGCAGAGTTTCTGGAATACCAACAAGCTCTTGAGGAACTGGTGGATGTGTAAGTGCTGCCTAACAGCCCTAGATGTAAAAATTATTATGTTTTGGATAACGTGTAAAGTTGTGGAGAAACTGATAGAGGCATTTCTTGCAAGTAAAAGGTTCAAATTTATTGTACCTCCTTAGAGAGATAGAGCTCTGACTAGGCAAAGCCCAGCACAAACATTTATACTGTACAAATCCCAACACACTCTCCCTTGGGATCATCCCACCCCTGCATAAAGAACTTCCTCACACATGAACATTTGGAGCAAAACAACTTCTGTTCATCAAGGAGATAAATTTTTCATTCGCCAGATAGACACTCAGAACTGGTGTCTTCTGTTCACGGCATGAAGGAGAATGATGGAAACTTTAAACACTTATCTTTTATCACTCCTAGCCTTCATTTAACCCCAATTATGCAGAGGAAAAACATGCTTCTACAGTTGGCAGGGATCTGAACAGCTTCTCAGAAAAATTTACGACTAATAAAACATGGATTTAGTCTTTTATTTCCAAAAATATCCTTTCTCAGTTACATTTTAATTTGAATATGCATCGTTTTAAAACTGGTCTACCTGTGTATTTACCCTGTTTACTTACAGGCTTCATGCAATTTCTGTAGACCTATTATTTATACCCAACATATTTTAAGTAAATTAAATGTTTTTAAAAGCAAATGAATTACACAAACTAGCAACTTCAGTGATTTTTAATGAAGAGACAGCTTGAGTATGTTTTTAGAATTTCTTGAATTCATGCAAACTCTCTCTGGCTTCATTCTGTCTCTGATTAATTTCTGGATTCATCAAATTTTTCACTTTCCATACCAAGGTGGCTTATAGATTTTGAATAAGTCTGGATCATTCAAGAAACTAATCATAAACTTGCTTTAATCGTTTATAGCTATCCATATTTAAGACACAATTCCAGTTAAGTTGATTTATTTTGTACTTACTGAAAATGTTTCTTCAGGACAATTTTTCAAGACAAAAAAAACCCATAATCCAGACATTTCAATTATAAGGAAAGATGAATTCAATTAAAAGCACACAAGTTTTATAACATTTCTAAGATTTATGTTTCCCATTGGTAAAATGTTTTCCAAGTAAGATTGGTTTTGTTGGGTCAATAACTCGGCAGAAATCCCTCACACCGAGCAAGCATGTGGCAACAGATGTAAGGAAAGACTTCCAACAGAAAATCACAAACACAGACAGATTGCTTTTAATTTTCAAAAAGGAAAGTTAATAGAAACAGTAGCTTTTTTGTCTTTATAGGAGAAAAACAAAACAATGGAACATTTCTGAGCCAAACCTGAGAACACTACCTCACATTTTATAGAGGCTTTATGCTATGGGACAGTTTTACTGCCATCATTACGCAAGTATTACATAGTGTATGGAAGAGACAAAATGTGTCATTTTGTATGCACAGAGTGTACAGCTTACAACAGTGTGATGATATTGCATTTGGAGTAAGATAAACATTACCAATATAAAAATAGCAACAGTGATCAGAATGTGAAAAATGTAGGAGAAAAAGGACAGTTTAAAAAAAAAAATGGTGCAAAATGGCATTATTATAAAAAAAAGTTGAGTGCAGTGCAAAATAAAAATGTTGCAAAATGCAGTAGAACGTTAAGTTGTGTCCTATTTAAAAGGATAATAAAATTTTAGCAACGTTGGTGGTGCAAAAAAATGCTGCAAGTGTGATGCAGAGTCCAGTTTAGAGTTCAGCTGTTCAACAGTCCGACTACCTCCAAATCTTTCAATTTTCCAAGGATCTGCAGCTAAATGTTTGAAACTGGAGCATAAATTTGTGTTTGAGCAGAGAAGTGATAATAAAATATGGATCTGAACTAGATTTAGAATTAATTGAGCATGAAAACAAGCTTTAAACCGAGGTATTTTTCTGGAACTTTCCAAGGAATATTTAATTACTATTAAAGGGTTGCATGTATATATATGAGCCTAGTTTTCATTAAGGACAACCTGAACCCATTTTCCTAAAAAAAAAAAAAATACATTTACTATAAAAACAGTTAAGATAAATCATTAAAAGGGTAATAGGACAGTCCTGAAAATGAAGCGTTATCATCTGATCAGATCTGCAGTTTAACAGGGATGTTCATCATGTCAGTGTGATCCCTTCTTTCCTCTCCTCCAGTGTGAAGGCCTACTCCAGCAGCACCAGCCTGGACCAGCAGCACCAGTGTGCAGCTAAAGATCTAACGGGCTCCCCAGTCCGCGGCACTCCTTCCACCATCCAGGTCACCTACCTGCCTTCCACGGGTCAGCGTAGCAAGAGGCCCAAACATTTCCTGGAGCTCAAAAGCTTCAAAGACAACTACAACACACTGGAGAGCACTCTGTGAATCACTGAGCGATGGAAGATCTGTGACAGACTGTGACGGGGTTTTTAGGTAGCTCTTAGAAATTGTAAACAAAGTCTGGGAGTTAATCAGACTCTGCCTTTATGTGTATGTACTTTAGAAGTGGTTTTCAGCCGTACTTTGGACCTAATGAATGATCTTTAGAGAAAAATTATGCCCACAAAAGTTTTTTTAATAAGTTATTTTATTTAATGTCTCCCAAATTTTTATTGTAAATACACTTTTTTTTATCAATGTATTTGTAAAATATTTAATTTGTAACTTATTGATGCTTTTGAGTTGTATTTGTACATAATTAAGGTGAAGAAAAGAAAACATTCAATTCTGAGCTGGTCTTCGGTTCTTTATGTAACCACTAGGGGGCAGTACAACACACCAACCTTTAAGAAAGAACTCAAACAATTGTCTGTCAAGGAAACAAAATTTTGTTTTGTACAGCTCCCATGACATTGCTGTTTCTTAAAGTCCAGCAGTGATCAATTGTAAACATTGTGGGAGAAAAAACATGGTACAAAAAATACATTCATTTGCAATTTCAGAGCATTAAATATATATGGTGCGATTATGCAGTGTTTTGGTTTGAGTCAGTTTGATGCAGAGTCTGTGATTTAGAGTTTTTTCAACAGTTCAGCTAAAAAGAAAAAAAGCTTTAACACCACATTTAGAGTTAATTCGGCATCTTTTATTTAAATTTAAATAAGAGTGGAGGAAAATCTACAACACAATGTTACACTCTGGAGGAATCTATCTACAGTGTTTACAAAAAACAACAAAGTATTATTATAAAGATGCTGGATGATCCAAACAATACAAAACATGTTAAATAAGCATTATTAAATAATCATTTATGCAGAAGATAATCCTGGACACAAAGCATGTTGAAGCACTTCTGCAGACTGGAAATTAAAACGGTGTTGATAACGACTGGAATATAAATCCAACATACATTAGAATTTATATAACAATGCTTTTGTTTTCCTCACCTATAAAGCCACTTAAAAATATTCTGACAGTAACAAAGTCTTAGTCTGTGATTCTTCAGGAAAATGTGTCATTTAGAAAATGAAAAGGTGCTAAAACCCTCAGTAATATAGTTATTGTTTAATTTAACCCAGATTAGTTTACTAAAAGCTTAGCTGCTTATTCTGCACTTAAATGGCATGAAGGATTAAAAGTCTTGCCACTGAATCCTGCAGGCAGAAATACAAACTGTACAGACTCGTGCCTGCATGTAACATCTAAGAAATCGGATCATTTAATTGTTTTTGAGAAATTCTTCCTGTTACTCCACTTCTTTTTTTTTTCTTTTTTTTTCTTTACATGCAACCAAAATCCTGAGTGTAACAGCCACAAAGGTAACAATAAGGTGATAACTTATAACTACTTATAAATATTTATATATATTATTAGAGGAAAAGTAAAAACATATTTACATGTCTGTTTTAGATAATTTCTTGCAACGTTGCTCAAGATTTGATCTCGATGACTTTGATTAAAGGCAGGACCTTGTTGGTCGGGGATGTTGGAATCAAAGGTTTGCTGCAAGAAATTGACCAGAGTTACGAAGCTGATCGGATAACCTTGAAACAGAGGCAGCGCTGGAAAAAACTGAAATCTAGATAAGTCATTTTTTCTTAAAATAAGTGCATTTGTTCTTGAATTGAGGAGGTAAAAGAGACATCTTGCCAATGGAACAAGACAATTTACACTTAAAATAAAAAAAACACAGTTTCATTGTCTTATTTCAAGTGCATATTATCTAATTATTTTAAGAGTAAAAATGCTCATTCCATTGGCAAAGTATCTCATTTACCTACTCAAATTAAGGGTAAATACACTTGATTTAACAAATTTTTACTTATTTCTAGATTGTTTTTCCAGTGAGGAAATCTGGAGGCACTTCCTCACCTGTAAACAATTTCCGGCTTGTTTTCAGTGGAGATTTCAGGAGGGTCCTCTCCTGTCAGGAGATGCTCCAAGTGGTCATGCATTTCCTTATTCTACAGGTAGAAAATAAGAAAATTAAAGCATTAACTTGTATTTTGTGCAATGTGGCAAATACAGATAGATTCGCTTTTCTTACAGATCAATACAAGAAATACTTGTTTATTAGTATTTTAAGGTACTACTCATAAAAAGATTTGAAAGATTTTTATAAACAGGAAACAAAACAATTAAAAAGTATGTATCCTCATAAATTAGGTTGCCATTTATTTTGAATGATTGTATTAGTTGACAAAAAGCATACATGGTAACCAGACTTTGTTGATATAAAAGGTATACAGAGCCTATGCAATTCACTCGTTCCTTTACCTTTTTCATGATTTGCAATTTAAAGCCACAGCGTTAGTATAAATAGCATAAAGATTTTATGCTTTTTGTTCAGGGGAAGAACAGTTACAATAGAATTTAAAAAGTATGATAAAATGTATGTTTTTTTTATGGCTCCTGCATTAATTAATACTTTGTATAACTGCCTTTCTCACATGTTAGAGCTACAACTCTACAGTTTAGTGAAAAGAACGGCCATGTAGCATAGCTCCACCCAGCTTCCAATCAATTGGGATGCATTTTCTGAATTGTTCCCAACACATATGGGAGCCATCACTATGTTTCACCATAGAGTTTGGTTTTATGGTTATTTGCGGTGTCCCAGGAGTCTTAAAATTTGCATGTAGGTTAAAAATTTGGTTTAGGACTCATGTGACCTGAGCACCTAAATTGTTCTGTGTGTTTCCTGCTTGGCCTGTGATTTTCTGTTGCTCTCTTTTTGTCTCTTTTCCATCAAGATCAGATTTTTATTGGAAAACACAGCTGCAAATTATTCCAAACTGCAGCTCCTCTATGCTGGATCTTTGACCAATGCTTCCTGTTTCCAGCATTTTAACCAAAGTGAGCATCCATATCTTGAAGGTACCATTCTTTCATATTTTTAAATGATGATTTGGACAGACCTCTGAAATGTTCAAACCCTTAGATATTTAAGAAGCTAATCTCTCCACATATCAAATTCTTAGGTAAATATTAAATTGTTAACAAAAGAGCTATATTTACTGAGTTTTTTTAATTTTATTTGGGGGGACTGCAAATGCAACCCGTAGGAGCCAATTATTTGTTAATAATTAACAATTTTTTTTGTTTTTTTTGTTGATAACCTAGTAAAATTTATTTATTTTACTGTATTGCTTGATATTTGTTTTTGGATTATGTTTTTTGTTTTTTTAGTTATGTTTCTTTGTTTCTGGTTAGGTATGAGCAATTTGGGTGAATTAGGTTAATTAATAGGCTGTCAATGGTAGGACCAGCATGCATCTGGGTGGGTGTATGTTTTTTTTTTTGTTTTTTTTAATCAGTGCAAGAGAAGCAAGGAGGAAATGTTTGTCCTTTTCTTGCTTAATGAGAAATAAATCACAAAACTAAAAGACTTTACCTGGAAAATAGGCCACAACACAACTCATCACATACAATTACAGCTAAATACATTGAGTTTTGTTGTTATAAAGCTATTTGAAAGGTAAATTAGTAGTTTTTAGAAGGCCTTGTATAAAAAGAGGCTTCAGGGTTGCCGTGATGGCTACTTTTTTGACCATAAGGTTGCTGACCTCAGCTTCTAGGAAGGCGACCTTCTCCTCCAGATCCGTGATGACCCGGTCCCTCTCTTGGATTATCGTCCGCGCATGCTGCAGCTGTGATATCAGCCAAAATAAACAAAGACAAAAATGTTCAGAAAAAAAAAAAAAAAACTCCCACACTGCAGAAACAATCTAAAAATAAATAAAAAACCTCTACCCTTAATTTGATTAAGTAAATAAGATGATTTGCCAATGGAATGAGTTTTTTTAATCTAATAAAAGAAGATGGATAATATGCATTTGAAATAAGACATTTAAAATGTTTTTTTCTTATTTTAGATGTAAATTGTGTTGTTCTGTTTGCAAAGTGTCTCAATCTCCTTCTAAATGCAAGAAAAAATGACTTTAGATTTTTTTTTTTTGCAGTGCAACATGATATCGCTTCATTACAGTAACACCACACAACAACTTCCTGTTTCCTTAATACTGCTTTCTGCCATGTGCTTTTTTTTTTTTGCATATAAACTTGTTGAATACCTGTTCGATCATGTGACGGAGCTTCCTCTGCTGACTCTTCAGCATGTCATCAAGGTGGTGAATCTTTTCCTTTAGCACAGCCACCTCATGGTTGAGTTCTGTGCACCTAAATAGACATAAAAACAGAACCATCTACAGGTTTGATCTGACTAATAACTGCCTGATTATATTGAAGTCGTTACCATGATAATAAAATATTATGTCAAAGAAGAGTAATTTACCTTTGTTCCTTCTCTGCTCCTCCCTCTCGGTTCTTTTTTAGCTGAAGCAGCTCTGCCTCCCCTGCCTCCATCTTGTCTTTAAGGAGGTTGCTCTCCATCCTCATTCCCTCCAGCAGCCTCTGCAGCTCTTCTACCTGTTGGGCTTTTTCCTCTGACTGCAGCTCCACCGCCTGCAGACGCACAGACTGCTCAGCCAGGCGGATGCGGCATTCGTTCGACTCGGCCTAAAAGAGAACAGATGGAAAACTTTTTGTAAAAAACCATCTAGAGATAACATTTTTGCTTGCACTGACACATTGAAATTTGATGGTCCTTTAATTGAAGCCTTTATTTTTTCAGTGTATAAATATAAATAACAGGGTTGGTTCATAGAATGTAAAGTTTTTTTGTTAGTTACTGCTTGTTCTACTGTGGAAATTTGAAGACAATACAAATTTTTGATAAAGTCTACACCTAACGATCTAAACTTGGTTTTATTAATCCTTTAAATAAATTAGATCAATACAACCTTCCGAATTTTAAACCCGCATTTGTTCACTATGTCGCTTTTAAAAAAAAATTCTTTAAATCTTCCATCAGACTCATAAGCTGTTGATAATGAAAGGAAAGGTGTACAAGTCAGTGGGGAGAGCAGAGGTAGAAAGTTCTCTTTGGAAATAAAACAGATGGACAGGATCAGAGATGAGGACATCAGAGGGACAGCTCATGGTAGATGTTTTGGACATAAAGCCAAAGAGACGGTTTGGACAGGTAAAGAGATACAATGTTGAGGCTGCAACTTTAAGGCAGGAGGCTTAGAGGGAGAGACGAAAGAGAAGATTTATGGGTTTAGTTATAGGCAGTGGTGGTTCTAGAACAAGTGGGTCAACCTATTCTCATTATGAGTGCATGTGAAATCGTACGAAAAGTTATGCACCGTAATTTCGTACGTTTTGGACGTTTTTTTCATCGTATGCGCATTCACAAATCTAGAATATAAATTACAATTAGCCCTAACCCTGACCCTAACCCTAAGATATAAAACAGCAAGCAACATAGTTAGAGACATGAATAAATGATGATTGCACTGTTTTTCCCATTTTTACGTCCGTCCGTGGATCTGCTTTTTTTTTTCTGTCTGCCAGCGCATGCGCACTGATGTGTTTTTTTTTAGGAAAAACGTACGAAATAGTGTGCATAATGAGAATATGTTGAGTGGGTAGACAGAACATAACAAGAATGGGGCAAAAGCACATTGTTTAGGGCATTAAGTGAGCCACAAACCAAAGATATCAGACACCTGATTGAAGAGATGAAAACTGTCATCCTATCTTAATAGATCCTAGGCGGAATTTCAACTGAAGAAACTGATTGCTCTCTTACATCCACCTGCGACGCAGCCAATCAGCTTTGAACCACACCTTCACGAAAGCCAATCAGCATCCAAAGTTCATCTTGAAAGGCCTCCAATACGCACTTGTTTGTGCACAGGCTGCGGATGTGTTGTCTGATTTCATTCAGATGACACTGTTTCATCCCACCTCCAGCCCCTCCTACACCACCGTAGCTGAAGCTTCATCAGTGTGTTATTCCTCCTGGACTCTTACAATGTTTTTTACTGTCTTATCTCAGCCGGTCCGGCAGAAGACCGCCATGTTAAGCCTGGTTCTGCCAGAGGTTTCTTCCCAACGGGGAGTTTTTCTTCTCCACTGTCGCTTCATGCTTGCTCATCATGGACAGGTTCTTTGAACCTGCGTTATCCAACTGGACTTCCATCTTCGAGGTCCCTGAGTGAAGCTCTAGTATCAGCTCATGCAATCCACTGGATCTCCCCATAAAGCTCAGCAGACCGTCTCTCTAACCAGCAGTCTACAGACTTATCAACTTCATCTATCTCCACTCCACCACCAGTTTCAGGCCTGGCGGGAAACAGCCCTATTCTTTGCTCCTGTTCATGCACATCTACCAAAATTAAGCGCTATGTTTCCTGCCGAGGTCTGAGCGCCAAAGACAAATTAACTGTATCAATACATTTCTGCTAATTGTCTTTTCTCTTTGTGTTAGTTGTTCTGATTGAAATAAAGCTGAAGCTTGAAACTGGCTGTAGCTTCTAAATAATTGTCAAAGTAAACTGTAAAGGTGAAATTGAAAATCCAATTAGGATGAATCAGTTACAGTCTGTTCTGTCATCATAAGAATGTTATGTTTTAGTGTTACAATGCAGATTTGATAAAGTAAAATTATCATCAAATAAATGCATTTTCCTGTAATACAAGCAAATAAATTAGATGATCTGCCAACGGAATGAGTATTTTATGCCGTTATAATAAGAGTGTTTTATAAGGGATTTTTTTATTTCTTATTTTAACCATAAATCATCTTATGCCATTAGCAAATTCTCCTATTTACCCACTTAAATCAAGTAAAACTACACTGAATTAAAGAAAGAAACACTTTTTTCACAGTTTCTTTTCACTATAGGAGCCAGGATCTGTTCTATGGGTATACTGGCCCCTGTTGGCCCTCATTTAAACCCACCTATAATTAAAGAGAAACATGAAGGTAGTTTGGTCAAACAGAAGAAGATGAGGTTAGAAAGAAAATTCAGAAGCTTAAAACCTTCTAAAGCTATTTTGATCCCAACTGGATGTTCACGCTCCTCAGTCAGGACATTAACCTAAATGTCTGTGTTAAGCCAGCCAAACTTACAGAATGCAAAATAGTAAAAATGTTTATATCATATTGTTTTAGCCATTTAAAGTTGGAAGAATATGTAATCTTCATTTTTTTTTAATCCAAAGCAACATTGTTTTAAAATGAGAACTTCCAGAAAGCCTCAACAGATGTGTACTTTTTATCAATTTAAATTTTATTCATTTTTTGAATTGAGTGGATTCATTTAAAACATGTTATTAGGCAAAAATCATCAGAGGTGCTTAAACCGAAGGTTCCTTCTTTGCCCAGATTTTACATTACCAATATTTAAATGTTACAGCATCATTTTAAATCCAGATTTTACTATTTAGCTGAAAAAACACATACAAATTGAAGCAAATCAAATGAGATATTAACTCAATAAACATTGAAGAATAAAAATGAATCATGTGGAATAAACTGCTGATCCGTTTTTCCACCCATGAGTCTGAGTCATGTCTTAATGGGCTCTTGTCTAAGATCCACTAAAAGCTAATGGACGGCCTTTATGAAGGCTTCTCAGGATGTCTATATGGATCTGTTCACTTTCTGCTGATAGAGATGTTATTTTAATGCCTCCTTATCTGAAAACGATCTACAGCACTTTTAAAGCTGATGTCAACCATTAGTTGTTGATTTAAAGTTTACCATAGAGCTCCTAGTCACATTTCGAGTCATTGCTGCAGTTTATATGTTAAGAGTCCTGGCAAGAGGGTTGGAGAAAAATATATTATATATTAGGAAATAAATATTTTTATTAACATTGATTAGTACTCCTGCTGTGAACGTTTGCAACATCTTTCTGCATAAAGGATAACTTCTGATTTCCTCCTTTAATATTTTTCAAGCGGAAGTGAGACATCCATGGAGGGGATATTTTCTCTGAAGAAATATGTCTGTATAGTTCTTATCCTCTTTCTGATTTATGTTTACAATCTCAGCGTTCATGATGTGATGCACACTAAGAACTTCATAATTAAACCAACGTCCCTGTTTCAGTGATAGGTCCAGTAGCGTTAAGAAAACGACATGTTACTGCTTGCGATGGAAAGAGACAGAGGTTTTTTTTTTCTGACTCCTGTTTGCAGTGTGAGAGTTTCTTGCTGCAATGAAATATCAATTAATCTTAATGTTTTTTTTTACACATTTTATGCTCTCACAAGTACAGGGTTAAATTAAGCAAAATTTAAAGCAGGATATGTAAATTTGAAAGCTACACATTGAGCCCATTGCTAAAGCTAAGAATATCTCTGACTGCATTTATCACAGAAAATCTCAGATTTCTTCATCCCTAAAACTATTTCTAAAGTCTTTAGTTTTCTGCATCTAAGGTTAGATCAGAGCAGCTTTCACTCAGTGATTGCTAAAGAAAGATATTTACCAACACAAAGAAAGATAATGTTAGATATAAAGATTGTGAATACATATGAATACTTGTAGATGGGGAAAAAAAAAAAAACTAAAGCAAAACTTTTAATTAGGTTTTTTTTATGGCCGCCCAACTTCTCTAATTTTCTTCTCCACTTAGATTGTGGCGACAAGAAATGGAGTAAAAATACACGATGAGTCAGTCTTCAGAGAAAACGGTCTCACATGTCCCACATGCTGCTGCTAATGAAACAGTGAGAACAAAAACTATAAAGCAGATAAATCTGCGGCAAAAAAAAAAAAAAAATGCAGTCAAGTCTGGACAGATGCTTTAAAAAAACAAATGAAGGGTGAAGCTTCACAGAACAAGCAATGAACTCCAAAGATAATATGAATGTTTAACAGTTAAAGCAATATGAAAGCAGAGGGGTGAGTCATAGTAGGCGTGCAGAAACCACACATAGTTTCCTGACACTGACCTCCAGTCTGTCCCGCTCCTCCTGGTGCTGCTTCTCCATTTCCTTCAGCTGTGCATACAGGCGCCTGGTCACCTCCCTGAGCTTGGCGCTGTCCTCCTGATTGTCCTCGAACTGTGGAAGTGGGACAACACAGAGCGATTAGGTCTAGCCTTACAAAGCAAGCCAAGCCTGAGGGGACAATAGGTGCTAACAAGCAGATAAAACAGGGCTAGCCTTCGGAAACAGAAGCTTTAAAAAGTCTAAATGTAATATATTTCTAGGTTGTAGCTTTAAAAGAGGAGGGCAATGTAAATCAACCCACAAATCTTACAATAGGCAGTCTCATATTATCCCAAGAGAAAAGCAAAAAATCTAAACAAAAAGTGCATTAAAAACCCAAAAGTAAGAGTTCACCTGAACGTCCAAAGAAACATTATTGTTATTGTTGGTGACCGGCGGTTGGCTGCTGTGAGTGTTAACTCTTATGCCGTTTGCTGGAACCTGAACACACAAAACCAGTGACAAGATTAGAAAGTTAGTGTTTATAAAGACAAAGTTAAACAAAGTTAATGATTTTTTTCCAATGAACATTCCATCTGCTTCCTTTAAATCCAACAATTCTCAACTTGGCTCCTTCAGTGACAGACTGCTGCACCCTAAAAGCACCAAGGAGCGTTATCACAGATCCTTCCTCCCAGCAGCTGTAAGACTCTATAACCATCACTGTTCCCAACAACCTCAATAAGTTGTTACATTCGTGCTGATTTTGCACAGTTTCTATCTTAGTAAATTAAATATCATGCTGCTGTCATTTTTGCACATCTCTGATGTTGCTGCTACTTTCAAATATTCATTACTGTAAAAATGTCCATAGCTGAATATTGGTTATTTTCATTCTCCAGGTGCAGTTTTATATTGTTAAAACACTTTACACTACAGTATTGTATTTATTATTTTTCACTCTTCACTAGTATGTCACTCATACATTTTCTAAGGTCCACATTTGTATGACAATTTTTTCTATAATTTTTTGCTGCTGTAAACACCAGAACTTTCCCATTTTGGAACAATAAAGGGATTTTCTAATCTATTCTATTATTTTCTATTAAATTTTAAGGCTTTACTTCCCATCTATATCATTCCAATTTTTCCAGCTTTCTTCCAGTATTTTGTAGCTGATTACACTGCAAAAACCATCTAAAAATGAGAAACTATTTCTTAAATTAAGTGTATTTACCATTAATTTGAGTAGATAAATAATAAATAATTTGCCAATGGAATGAGTAATTTTTGTCTTAAAATAAGATAATTAGATAATATGCACTTGATATAAGACAATGCAATTGTGTTTCTTATTTTAAATGTAAATTGTCTTGTTCCATTGACAAAGTTTCTCAATTTTTGACAAAGTTTCTCAATATGTCATTTTTTTCTCAATATGTCATTTTTTCTTGCATTAAAAATGCAAGAAAAAATGACATATTTAGATTTAAACTTTTTGCAGCGATTGTGGAGAAAAAATAGGACTCGTTAGAATTAATCTACAAAAACATAAAAAAAAGAGAAATACAGTATATAATGTGTGCATCTTTTATGGCATTTTTTCAAGCATACCAGAGAAACAGAATGCCTCATTATTGTGAAAATACTGGACATTTTTTAACTACAAGACCAGAGGCTAACATTGAAGGATTAAAAGAATCTAGAGAATTCTTGGTATAACTGACGTTAAAGCTGAAAATCAATGCTGAATGGTTATAATCTGCAGGCCCACAGGCAGCAGTGAGCTGCAAACAGACATAAACTTGGGAGCTCAAAAACTGCTCTCACGCAAAGATAAAAAAAAAAAAAAAAGCAATATAAACCAGAAGCAGCTTGAGAATCCCTGCTGCTACTTTTTTTAAATCTGGGTCAACGATTAAACATGATGAACTGATTAGAATCATTGTACGTCTTTGTATTCAAGATGGAAACTTTTTGCATGCTTAACAGGAAATATAAGATCCACATGAGCGTATGTAAAGCCTTATATCAGACAAGCAATGCCAAACCACATTCTGCACATAGCACAACTGTGTGGCTCTGCAGTAAACGGGTCCAGATGCTGTGCTGCCCCTCCTGAAGCTCATCTGGAAGGATTCTCAACTCAGAACGAAATGAGGAAAAACAACTAATGAAACTGGAAAATGCTGTGGAGTTTTCATAATGCATGGACTAAAAGTTAAACATTTAAAGCTTCAAAACCACATCGGTTTATATTTGCTTACTGAGTTTTATGGAACAAAAATTACTGAACCAATAAAAAAACAAGTCAAAACCACAAATAAATGATTATAATAAATTCCAAAGGAAAAAAAATAAAACTGAAAAATATATTTTATTTGGTTTTGCTATTCGTCAATGTACAACTGATGTAAAAATAAGCTTAAATAGTGTGAATCTTATTATGAAATTTTTTTAAATCCTGTAGTTCACTCAATCACATGCAGTTTTATCTGTATAATGTTCAGGTTGCTGTTAAAGATTAGACAAAAATAAATACATAAATCAAGCTAAGGGAAACTGAAAAATCCAATGTATAAACAGTACAAAGAAATATTTCGATCAATATTACTTAATTTTTTAATAATATTGTTAAAAAATATTTGGACTCTTTTTAAAGTCATGCATTTGCAAGATAAAAAAAAGAGTTCAAGCTTTAAATCTTAAAACGTAAGGTTAAAGAGACATTTGGAAGTTTTTACTGAACAATATCTTTAAAACTGCCTTTTTATTTGACCCTTTATAACTAAAACATCATTTGATGAGCAGACTGACACCTCAGCAGTAGTTTGTTTAGTTTTATGTTGTTTTTCTTATTTACAGTTGTTCTAATCTGTCATGATGGTTTGTCTATTCTGTTTATAAAGTTTTGTTTTTACTTTAAGTTCTAAGTTCTTGATCCATTTCACGCTTTATATGTTACATATTTTTACCAGTTTCCCCCAAAATCTAAGCATTTTAATCAGTTATCAGACACACAGATGCATAGTTGTAGAGCAGCTGATCCTTCACATAGTAGGAGACCATATATTGACAATATGCTGCCATGTAAAGGTAAGCTTTTCTGCACATTTTGAAGCATTGGGAAACGTAGAAATTACCTTATTGAAGTTGCTGTTTTGTCTGGCAGCCATCTGCTCTCTGAGAGACTTCAGGCAGTACCGCACCTACAAACAAGGAGATAATGCTTTTTAAAAAATGTTTCCAAAGAACAGTCACAAAAAATGTCTTCCACTGATGTTCCGTATAAGTCATTAAATGTTAAGATCAGAGTAAATAGTTTCTAGAACAGCTTGTTTCTGACCTCCTGAATGTGGGACACTTCGTCCGTCAGCATCCTGACACTCTGTATCGTTTTTTGTCTAGGTTCAAGGTAGACCTTAAATCATAAAGCAGAATAGTGAGAAAGTTTTTGGAGAAGTATAACTTTATTCCAGTTGAACCAGAACACATACCTTAATAACTTCTTCCTTTTCTACTCTGGGAGTGATGAGCTCAGCTCTGTGTTTTTGCTCGCTGGGTTTCTGTGGCAGCACAACGGCTATGCTGCTCTCCTATAAACGTGGTGGAAAAAAAGGAGGCAAATTAGTAAGTCTGATCTCCGCCTCCCTTGTCTCAGTAAACAAACCAGAAATTATTTGTTTGTACCTTGCTGCTTTGCCTCTCTGAGGTGTATCCCGTCGGCTCCTGATCCTGTGAGGACAGCCTGACCGGCGTGGGAAGCTTCTGAAATGAAAGATGAGACGATAAGTGGAATTTGTGGAGCGTTGGGGGGATGACTGTAAAGGAAGAAGAGCTCTATGAAGTGAAAGAAGAGGAGATCAAAATGAAAGTGGAAGGCAGAGCAGAGAGACAGGGGGAGTTTTTTACGTCACAAAACTTCCCCCCCATAACTAAAGTTCCCCTGTGGAGGCCCTCACATCACATTGGGAATCTTGGCAACCCACAATGGGGAGCCCACTGGAAAACAACTAACCAGTCTAGTGCAGGACGGGCTAAAAATACAAAATACAAAACGGCTTAGTCACTCTTCACTCAGCTTTGTCTCCTTAGCAACAACAAAAAGAAATAAAAATGTTTGCATTATGTAACGCTTCCCTTGTTTACTGAAATAGACTACAGTCGTATATGTTTTGGACAGACAGGAAATTCCTGAACAGTCTGTGAGTTGGGTCCAGTTCTTTCTGACTGTAAGACACAATCTTATTGATAAAGCAACAGGTAATATTGGGTGTTATACAAAGAGACCAAAGGCAAATATTAAAAAGGCGACAACTTATTTAAGGAAGTAGATAACAAAAAAAGAAATTAAGTTCAAGTAGGTTTAGATGAGAACAACTTCTTAGATAAAATCTTGCCATCACTGTAAAACAGTGGCGGCTGTCCCATAGGCGCTGCCGTCCCTAGATGCGGAAGGGAAAAGTCACAAATAATATTTATAGATTTTAAAAGTATTATCAATGTCAGTTTTGCTTAATAGTATGTGGCTACATACTTCTACCATTTGACTCTCATTCAACAGTGCATTTCCACAAACAGAACACATCATTTCTCTTCTTGGGCGCTCATTCAAAACGCCTCTGAAGTTTAGTGAATTAACCAATTTTTTAATGTTGCTAGGGAAGATTAATAAATATTTGATCAATCAGCATCGCCAAAATTAATGGCTTTGTCGCTCCTGGAATTTTGGCCCCTGCTACAGTGATACAGGCGATACAGCTAGTTGTCAGTCAGGCAGTAGAGATTAGGGCGACGACAACAGTTGAACTTGAAGCGAAGCTTTCACACAATTCAGTGAGACCTTTACTAAGTTAGCCTTTCGCAAGAAGGATGATGGTGGAAAAAATCCAACAGAGTAGGAACCTGACAGGCCCGAAATAAATGTAATGCAGCAAACCGAGAAAAAGGCTAAATCCTACAACCAAACTTTTAGCAGGAGTTGGTTCCAGTGTAATTCCATGGGCTGTTCTAGACAGGGGTCAACGGGGGCCAGGGCCCCTGTAGATCATGTCCTGGCCCCTGTTATGGCCCCTGTAATGAAGACTTAATACTCAAAGAAATTCTAATGATGATATGCGCTGGAACAGACATGGTTACTGATAGGTACTTTTTTTCTTTACAAATTCTATTTTATTAACTATTTAAAAACAATAAGGTGTAGCTTGAGTGGTATTGAGATAGGATCCCAGTTTTATCTGGTAAAATCTTTTTTCAAACAAATTTTTAAAAATACTCTAATTTCTACAGCTGAATTTAAAAGTTTTTCTTAAACTCTAATTCAGATTTTATAGGAAACTGTAATTTTAACTTAAATTAAGTCAAAAATGTGTAAAATTCCTAAATTCTGAATGTATTAACCTAATAAGACATTTAGAATTTTAAAGAAACCCAATTGAATAGAAATTTCACTTCATGCAGCTACCTTAATATATTTGAATCCCTTGCCCTGTTTTTTTTTTTATCTCATGCTTCTATGTGCCCCCATGAAAACACACTGTCCCCCTCCTGCCCCCCTGGTACATTTGGTCTAGAACCGCCAAACTTTTTAGTTTTCCCTGCGTTCCTTTTAAAAATGACCGGAAATATTTGACGTGGTCACAATCTGGACAGACAGACTTAAAACACCTCTCCGACAGGTAGGACTGATTTAAAGCACTTTTTAGAAAAGGCAAAGAAGAATGAACAATCTGGGATCCACATGGAAAATAATTTAATATAGTTAACTTTTTCTAGATGTTTGTTCATTTGCAACCAAAAATAAACTCTTAAATAAACACATTCTCAGAAAATAATTAAGTAAGTAATTTAATCAAGTAATCAAGTAATTTATATATTAGCTGACTAATAGCTTCTCCATTATCAAACGGGCACATTATTTTTTTTTAGGCCTGTGACACCATATTGGACCATGCATTTACCTTCACAAAGCCTCAGAAGGGCAACATTTATGTACAAAAAGTGAACCTGTCTACAGTAAACCTGTACAAAACCTGTTATGTTTTGTTTTTATATGAGTGTTTAAGTGTATAAGAGTGTATAAGTGTTTTTAGAATGTTTTTTGTTGTTGGTATTCATATAAGTATACTTGTGTGATAACTTAGAATAAGTTTGATTACTTTTTGGTATGCGTCTATTTTGAATTTATAGCCCCCCTCCTGGAGAAAACTCTCCCAGCTGCCACTGGTGTAAAATCATTCATCATTACTGTACCTACAACATAAAATGCTGGGTTAGTCCTTTCACTAAACCAAATGTGGGGCTTTGCTGTTGAAATTAATTGTTAAAATGACTGTGTGAATAATTCATAAAAAAAAGGACCACTGTGTAACCCAGATTTTTGAGTTAAAGAAGAGGCTAGTGGTCAGGTTCTGCACAGTTTGGTCATATGTTTTATAGTTACTCTGGCTAACTTCCCTCTACTGCTAAAAACATCATCCCCACATTATGGTGCAGCCACCCCCGTGCCATTCAAAAAAGAGGTTTAATTCTTATCCAGCAAAAGCTTTGGTACCTATTTTGAAAACTGGATCTTTAGTTTAGATTAAATTAATTATAGTTTAGGAACATAGGATTATACTTATAGAAAATATAGTTTTGTGACTCCAGTAATTATTATTTATCGGCGAGATTTATTTGTTTTGAGTGATTGTTTTTTTTATCAGGAGTCCAAATCGGTCGAATGGAAAGAAGTGAATAAGCACAAAAAGTGGAAATAAGATACAACAGGAAGTTATCAGAAAATGTTAACAAACGTTATGCATGAAATGTTAACATTTTTAGGTAAATCAAGCTTTGATTAAAAAAAAAAAAAACTACAAAAAAACAACTGTAAGGCAAACTGACAATTGGGGCAAAACAGCAGATAGTTGATAGTCTATATGCAATGAGTGCTTAAAATTGAGAAAGGTTTTTGAATGTTGGATCTTAGAAATGTCAGCAGCAACTTTTGAGGATAAGTCATAAAATATAGTATAAATCATGCTAAGACCAAGAGATGAAAGATAAACTGTGTTTTATAAACCACTGAGAACAGATTGTGTCTTTGTGAAAGGTTTCTGTTACCAAAGTGTCTCATGATCACATTTAAAAGCTATTCTTTACTAACTTGACTATATTTCTACAGAAAATGTTGTTAGAGTCTGGGAATCTCCTCCTTCATTTGAGAGATTTTCAGCTTCTCCTCCAGAGGTCCTCCTCAAGCATTTCCCCCCCTGAGTGGAAGGGTGGTTGGTTTCACCTGTTCCCCATCAAGCAGTGGACTATTTAAGGAGCCTGGTTCTCTCTAGTGCCAGACTGTTAACCTTTGTGGACTAATCCTCACGAGGTTCGAGCTCCTGAGAAAACTTCTTAGTTCTTCAGACATCTACAAAGCTCAATGTAAAGCATTTGGTGATTAAAGTCACTACTTCATTAAACCTGATCCCTGGATTCCTTTAACCTGACTCCGCAGAGCGAGACATGCATCTGGCTGTTGTCAGGTTAGGATTCCTTTGCTTCCATCACAAACTCCACCGGTACCAAAACTCACAGAATTTCCTCAACACAACTCACCCTCCCCCCCGGCAGATTAATCCCAACCTCCAAGTTGGCTATATAATTCAGATTACCCTCGATTTAGTTCAATACATGTTATTTCCCTGACCATCTCTCAGAGAACCCTGCCATTCCCACTCCTGTTTCCCAGAATTAAATTTGGAATACATGCAATCCGTGTAAATAAACTGTTTTCCTTTTTCCTGTGAGTGTTCTGTATGTGGGTAAAACAATGCCTGAATGTGTAACAAATAAAAGTAGAGAACCATATTATAAAAAAAAATATTATAAATATATTATAAAAAAAAATCTGCAAGAGATCAAATCTGTGATACAAAAGTTCTGTAAGATACTGGACTGGAAAAGATTTTGAACAGGACAGGGTGTAAACATTATATATTGTGAAGGTACTGTATATTTAAACGATTCGAAAATCTATTCGCTTTTTGCTTTTTCACTTTTTCACTTTTCTTTACATAGCTTTCTTTATATTCTCTATGCAATATACTGTAAGTATCCTTTCCCCCCCAGCATTCACCAGTAAATTTGTGTGGGTGTAGACCTGTTTTGCTGTTTCCCTATTTCATTTCAGTGGAAGTACTCTGTATGTTGTTCCAGTATTTTCTTTCATCTTCTATTAGAGAGGAATTTGACAAGAACCAGTCTAAAACAAAGATACTTAGTCATAAATTGTTCAATGGAAACCATAAAGAGAGATGCAGTTTGTTTAATTTGGAAAATTGAAAAGAGAAGCTTTAAATGTGCTTATACATGCATCATTTAAAGTAAAGTTAAACAGTATTTTGGCACAAGTTGAAAAGTTTAGAGAACAACCTATTATCATGGCTAGTAATGATGTCATTCAAAATCCTTTAAATACACCTGACCCATCAGTTCCCTCTGAAAGTAAACAAATGATTCCTTTTATACATAATCTCAAACAGGAAGACCTATTGAAGTAAAAAAGTATGAAAATCTAATCTGTGTTTGATTTACTAATTCAACTCCTACTTGTTATCTTCCGCTTATCCAGGACCGGGATGCGTGGGCAGCAGTCTATACAGGGATTCCCAGACTTCCCTCTCTGCAGACAGCTCCTACAGCTCTGCTGGGGGAAAGCCGAGCTGCTTCCAGGCCAACTGAGAGACATCCCAGAATGTCCTGTGACCTGTGAGATCCTCTGGGTCTCCTTC